ATCGAACCTGGGACCTTTCAGTCTGCAGGCCGACGCTCTATCCACTGAGCCAAACCAGTCAGGCAAGAATTATTTTAAAAATTAAAATGGAAAATGACATTATATTCCTTGATAAGATTTATTAAAGTTGAAGAATATAGTCTCAAGGAAGCTCTATAACTATTTATCCAATGCCACAGTCTTTTATATATATTTTTTTAAATTGATTTTTTACAGAAAGGAAGGGAAGGGGATAGAGAGTTAGAAACATCGATGAGAGAGAAACATTGATCAGCTGCCTCCTGCACACCCTCCACTGGGGATGTGCCCGCAACCAAGTTACATGCCCTTGACCGGAATCAAACCTGGGACCCTACAGTCCGCAGGCCGACGCTCTGTCCACTGAGGCAAACTGGTCAGGGCAAATGCCACATTCTTGATAGAACATTTTTCTCACTTTGAGTCTAGAATGCTCCTAGTGTTCTGGTAGAATTAGTATTTGGGTCTTTATATGTGATGTTTGTGAAAGTCACTGTTTTCAATCCATCTCTGTTCTGTATAGGACCTTCAGCATCGCTAGTGATCCTGTGTTGGAAGAATCTGGCTGGTTTTAGCCTAGTTTGAAATGGACATAACTCAATAGCCATTACATTCAATTGTGCATCTTTTTTTTAATGATTTTATTGATTTTTTACAGAGAGGAGGGGAGAGGGATAGAGAGTTAGAAACATCAATGAGAGAGAAACATCGATCAGCTGCCTCTTGCACACCCCCTACTGGGGATGTGCCCGCAACCAAGGTACATGCCCCTGACCGGAATCGAACCTGGGACCCTTCAGTCTGCAGGCTGACGCTCTATCCACTGAGCCAAACCGGTCAGGGCTCAATTGTGCATCTTAAAATAAGCTAGCTGAAAACATTTTCCACTGGAAATCTCTTCTCTTAAAGACGTCTCTAAAGCGTGGCAGTCAGGTAGATTATAGCAATCCAAGGCTTAGGTGGGGAAAGTTCCTTTTAATGTTTAGAGGACACCACGGCCGTGTTGTCAATGTTTGCACAATGCATGTGCTGCTCTGTTGGGTCTCCGGTCCGGACTGGTGCCCAGCGGGAGCTGGTGGGTGGGTACATCTTCAAAGCCCGTGCTCCCTCAAAATTGCCGTTTGCCCCCAGACATTCAAAAGCACGTCAGCAATGCTTATTTCAGTCATGCGGGACCTTGTAGTGAAGAGGCAGGTGGCCTGGGAAGGCAGTGGTACCCAACCTTCTCTCACCCCAACGTGGCGGAGGCGCTAAGAGACTCTCCTGTAGTCAATATGGCTCCCCAAGAGCAGTGGTTCCCGTGATTGTATCAAGGAAGGTTACCAGGTCTAGACCAGAGAAAGGACCAGTTCAGGGAGGCGGGGTCCTCTGCACACGTAGCACGTCTGAGCATCATGGGAACACAGAGGAAATGGCACCGGTGAGTAGCTCGCACTGGGTGGCTTCAGGGAATCGCCTGGGCACTTTGGGCCTCCGTTTCTTCACCTGTGAAATGAGGGGATTTGAACAACGTGGCCTCAATGTCTCTTCACTCTGACTCAAAAAAAAAAAAAAGAAGAGCGGTAGCCCCGGGGAGCTCAATTGGTATCAGTGGTCGGCAAACTGCGGCTCGCGAGCCATATGCGGCTCTTTGGCCCCTTGAGTGTGGCTCTTCCACAAAATACCACGCGCGGACGCGCATGTACAGTGCAATTGAAACTTCGTGGCCCATGCGCAGAAGGCGGTATTTTGTGGAAGAGCCACACTCAAGGGGCCAAAGAGCCGCATATGGCTCGCGAGCCGCAGTTTGCCGACCACTGGCAGATCATCCTCCCGACATGCCAAGGTTTCAGGGTCAATCCCCAGTAGGGGCACACACACACACAAGTCAACCAATGAGTGTATGAATAAGAGGAATAACAAATCAATATCTCCCTCCCTCTAAATTTAATTTTTGAAGAAGAAGAAGAGATGTACAAGATAACTGGAGGGAGAGCTTTCAAGGAAGCGGGAACAGCTTGTGCAAAGGCCCTGTGGTAGGAAATTGCTAGGTGAGTTTGAGGAACATAAGGAAGGCCTGTGTGGATGGAGCACAGGGAGTGAGGGAACAGTGGCAAGAAATGAAGCTGGGCAATAAATAAATAAATAAATGTGGGGACATATTTGTAACTGGGGGTGAGGAATGGGAGGGCAGAAGAGTCTTCTCTGTCCGGCCTTACCAGCTCACATAAGGCCTTGAAGGCTGTGGTATTTTTTATTTATTTATTTTTTTAATATATTTTTTTCTTTTTTTAAAAAAAATATGTTTTTACTGATTTTTAGAGAGAGAGGAAGGGAGAGGGATAGAGAAATAGAAACATCAAT